GTCTATGGGGTGCCTGTGGGTGTCTATAGGCGTCTATGGGGTGTCTGTGGGGGGTCTATGGGGCAGCCATGGGGTGGCTATGAGGCAGCTATGGGGTGCCTATGGGGTGTCTATGGGGCAGCTATGGGGTGTCTATGGGGTGTCTATGGGGCAGCTATGGGGTGTCCATGGGGCAGCTATGGGGTGTCTATGGGGTGTCTATGGGGCAGCTATGGGGTGTCTATGGGGCAGCTACGGGGTGTCTATGGGGTGTCTATGGGGCAGCTATGGGGTGTCTATGGGGCAGCTATGGGGCAGCTATGGGGTGTCTATGGGGCAGCTATGGGGTGTCTATGGGGCAGCTATGGGGCAGCTATGGGGTGTCTATGGGGCAGCTATGGGGTGTCTATGGGGCAGCTATGGGGTGTCTGTGGGGCAGCTATGGGGTGTCTATGGGGCAGCTATGGGGTGTCTATGGGGCAGCTATGGGGTGTCTATGGGTCCTTACTGGTTCTTCCTGGTGCAGACTCGGCCGAGGTGATCCAGTCCCGGCTGAACGAGCAGGAGGGCCGGGAGGAGTTCTACGTGCACTATGTGGGCTGTGCGTACTGGTTCATACTGGTTTATACTGGTTCATATTGGTTTGGACTGGTTTATACCGGTTTGGACTGGTTTATACTGGTTCATACTGGTTTGGATTGGTTTGGAATGGTTTGGGCTGGTTTGGACTGGTTTGGATTGGTTTGGACTGATTCATACTGGTTTATACTGGTTTGGACTGGTTTAGACTCTCAATGGATCCCCATTGACCCCCATTGACCTCCATTGCCCCCATTGACCCCCATTGATCCCCATTGACCCCCATTGACCCCCTTTGACCCCCATTGACTCCCGTAGACCCCCATTGACCCCATTGACTTCCATTGACCACCATTGACCCCATTGATCTCCATTGACCCCATTGATCTCCATTGACTCCCATTGACCCCCATTGACTCCCATTGACCCCCATTGACTCCCCTTGACCCCCATTGACCCCCGTAGACCCCCATTGACTTACATTGACCCCATTGACCCCCATTGACTCCCATTGACCCCCATTGACTTCTATTGACCCCATTGACTCCCATTGACTCCCGTTCCCATTGACACCCATTGACCCTATTGATCTCCATTGACCCCCATTGACCTCCATTGACTCCCATTGACCACCATTGACTCCCATTGACCCCCATTGACCCCCATTGACTTCTATTGACCCCATTGACTCCCATTGACCCCATTGATCTCCATTGACCCCCATTGACCCCCATTGACCCCCATTGACCCCCATTGCCCCCCATTGCAGTCAATCGCCGCCTGGACGAGTGGGTGCCCCGGTGCCGCCTGGCCCGGGCCGGGGGGAGCCGGAGCCCGGGGGCGGGGCCTGGTCCCGGAGGGGCGGGGCCTGGTCCCGGGGGGGCGGAGCCTGAGCGGAAGCTGACCCGGAACCAAAAGAGGCGCCACGATGAGATCAACCACGTGCAGAAGGTGATGGGAGGGACTGGGATGGACTGGGATTGAACTGGGATTGAACTGGGAGGGACTGGGATTGAACTGGGAGGGACTGGGATTGAACTGGGATTGAACTGGGATGGACTGGGAGGGACTGGGATTGAACTGGGAGGGACTGTGATGGACTGGGATTGAACTGGGATTGAACTGGGAGGGACTGGGATGGACTGGGATTGAACTGGGATTGAACTGGGAGGGACTGGGATGGACTGGGATTGAACTGGGAGGGACTGTGATGGACTGGGATTGAACTGGGATTGAACTGGGAGGGACTGGGATTGAACTGGGAGGGACTGGGATGGACTGGGATTGAACTGGGAGGGACTGGGATGGACTGGGATGGACTGGGATTGAACTGGGAGGGACTGGGATGGACTGGGATTGAACTGGGAGGGACTGGGAGGGACTGGGATGGACTGGGATTGAACTGGGATTGAACTGGGATGGACTGGGAGGGACTGGAATTGAACTGGGATGGACTGGGATGGACTGGGATGGACTGGGATTGAACTGGGAGGGACTGGGATTGAACTGGGATTGAACTGGGATGGACTGGGAGGGACTGGAATTGAACTGGGATGGACTGGGATGGACTGGGATGGACTGGGATTGAACTGGGAGGGACTGGGATTGAACTGGGATTGAACTGGGAGGGACTGGGAGGGACTGGGATTGAACTGGGACGGACTGGGATGGACTGGGATGGACTGGGATTGAACTGGGATGGACTGGGAGGGACTGGGATTGAACTGGGATGGACTGGGAGGGACTGGGATGGACTGGGATTGAACTGGGATGGAATGGGAGGGACTGGGATTGAACTGGGATGGACTGGGATGAACTGGGATGGGATTGGGATGGACTGGGAAGAACTGGGATGGGATTGGGAGGGACTGGGATGCAGTGGGATGGGATTGGGATGGACTGGGATGCACTGGGATGGGATTGGGATGGGACTGGGATGAACTGGGATGGGATTGGGTTGGACTGAGATGGACTGGGATGGACTGGGATGGGATTGGGGTGGACTGGGATGAATTGGGATGGGATTGGGATGAACTGGGATGGACTGGGATGGGATTGGGAGGGACTGGGATGGGATTGGGAGGGACTGGGATGGGATTGGGATGGGACTGGGATGGGATTCGGTTGAACTGGGATGGACTGGGATGGGATTGGGAGGGTCTGGGATGGAGTGGGATGGACTGGGATGTACTGGGATGGGATTGGGATGGACTGGGATGAACTGGGATGGGATTAGGATCGACTGGGATTGAACTTGGAAGGACTGGGATGAACTGGGATTGAATTTGGAGGGAATGGGATGGACTGGGATTGAACTGGGATTGAACTGGGAGGGACTGGGATGAACTGGGATTGAACTGGGATGGACTGGGATGGACTGGGATGGGACTGGGCTGGACTTGGATGGGATTGGGATGGACTGGGATGGGATTGGGATGGGACTGGGATGCACTGGGATGGGATTGGGATGGACTGGGATGAACTGGGATGGGATTGGGCTGGACTTGGATGGGATTGGGATGGACTGGGATTGGATTGGGATGGACTGGGATGAACTGGGATGGGATTGGGATGGACTGGGATGAACTGGGATGGGATTGGGTTGGACTGGGATGGAATGGGATGGGATTGGGAGGTACCGGGATAGACTGGGATGGACTTGGATGAACTGGGATGGGATTGGGATGGGATTGGGATGGACTGGGGTGGGATTGGAATGGACTGAAAAGGGCTTAGAGGGGCTGGTGCTGCCTTACTGGTCCTTACTGGTCCGGACTGGTCCTGACTGGGAGCCCCTTTGCAGACCTACGCCGAGATGGATCCCACCACGGCAGCGCTGGAGAAGGAGCACGAGGCCGTGAGTGCTCCCTATGGGTCCCAATGGGGCTCCCTATGGGTCCCTGTGGGGCTCCCTATGGGTCTCTGTGGGGCTCCCTATGGGTCTCTGTGGGGCTCCCTATGGGTCCCAATGGGGCTCCCTATGGGTCTCTGTGGGGCTCCCTATGGGGCTCTGTGGGGCTCCCTATGGGTCTCTGTGGGGCTCCCTATGGGGCTCTGTGGGGCTCCCTATGGGTCCCTATGGGGCTCCCTATGGGTCTCTGTGGGGCTCCCTGTGGGTCTCTGTGGGGCTCCCTATGGGTCCCAATGGGGCTCCCTATGGGTCCCTGTGGGGCTCCCTATGGGGCTCTGTGGGGCTCCCTATGGGTCCCAATGGGGCTCCCTATGGGTCCCTGTGGGGCTCCCTATGGGTCCCAATGGGGCTCCCTATGGGTCCGAGTGGGGCTCCCTATGGGTCCCTGTGGGGCTCCCTATGGGTCCCAATGGGGCTCTCTATGGGTCCCAATGGGGCTCCCTATGGGGCTCTGTGGGGCTCCCTATGGGTCCCTATGGGGCTCCCTATGGGTCCCTGTGGGGCTTGCCAAGGCTTTATCCCTATGGGTGAGGCCCCATCCCATTATCCCATGTTATCCCATGTTATCTCATGTTATATCCCCTGTTATATCCCATGTTACCCCATGTTATCTCATGTTATATCCCATGTTATATCCCATGTTACCCCATGTTATCTCATGTTATATCCCATGTTATATCACGTTACCCCATGTTATATCCCATGTTATATCCCATGTTATATCCCATGTTATTTCCCATGTTATATCCCATGTTATTTCCCATGTTATATCCCATGTTATCCCATGTTATACCCCATGTTACCCCACGTTATACCCCATGTTACCCCATGTTATACCCCATGTTACCCCATGTTACCCCATGTTATATCCCATGCTATACCCCATGTTACCCCATGTTACCCCATGTTATATCCCATGTTATACCCCATGTTATATCCCATGTTATCCCATGTTATATCCCATGTTACATCCCATGTTATATCCCATGTTATCCCATGTTATACCTCATGTTACCCCACGTTATATCCCATGTTAAACCCCATGTTACCCCATGTTACCCCATGTTACCCCATGTTACATCCCATGTTATCCCATGTTATACCCCATGTTATCCCACGTTATATCCCATGTTATATCCCATGTTATCCCATGTTATACCCCATGTTACCCCATGTTATATCCCGTGTTATCCCATGTTACATCCCATGTTACCCCATGTTATACCCCATGTTATACCCCACGTTATATCCCATGTTATACCCCATGTTATATCCCATGTTACCCCATGTTATACCCCATGTTACATCCCATGTTCTCCCATGTTACCCCATGTTATCCCATGTTACCCCGTGTTATCCCATGTCACCCCGTGTCACCCGCAGATCACGAAGGTGAAGTACGTGGACAAGATCCACATCGGGCACTTTGAGATCGACGCGTGGTACTTCTCGCCCTTCCCGGAGGATTATGGGAAGCAGCCCAAGCTCTGGATCTGCGAGTTCTGCCTCAAGTACATGAAGTACGAGCGCTCCTTCCGCCTCCACCTGGTAGGGCAGCGCGGCGACACGCGTGTAATATGGGGGGGGACATGCGTGTAACGGGGGGGGACATGTGTGTAACATGCGTGTAATGTGGGGGGACATGCGTGTAATGTGGGGGGACATGCGTGTAATGTGGGGGGACATGTGTGTAACATGTGTGTAATGGGGGGGACATGCGTGTAATGTGGGGGGACATGCGTGTAACAGGGGGGACATGCGTGTAACATGCGTGTAATGTGTGGGGGGACATGCGTGTAATGTGGGGGGACATGTGTGTAACATGTGTGTAATGTGGGGGGGACATGCGTGGGACATGCGTGTAAGGTGGGGGGTACATGCGTGTAATGTGAGGGGGACATGCGTGTAACGGGGGGACATGCGTGTAACGGGGGGACATGCGTGTAATGTGGGGGGACATGTGTGTAACATGTGTGTAATGGGGGGACATGTGTGTAACGGGTGGGGGACACGCGTGGGACATATGTGTAAGGTGGGGGGACATGCGTGTAACATGCATGTAATGTGGGGGGGACATGCGTGTAATGTGGGGGGACATGCGTGTAATGTGGGGGGGACATGCGTGTAATGTGGGGGGACATGCGTGTAATGTGGGGGGACATGCGTGTAATGTGGGGGGGGACATGCGTGTAATGTGGGGGGACATGCGTGTAATGTGGGGGGGACATGCGTGTAATGTGAGGGGACATGCGTGTAATGTGGGGGGGACATGCGTGTAATGTGGGGGGGACATGCGTGTAATGTGGGGGGACACGCGTGTAACATGCATGTAATGTGGGGGGGACATACGTGTAATGTGGGGGGACATGCGTGTAACATGCGTGTAAGGTGGGGGGACATGCGTGGGACATATGTGTAAGGTGGGGGGGACATGCGTGTAACATGCGTGTAATGTGGGGGGACATGCGTGTAATGTGGGGGGACATGCGTGGGACATACGTGTAATGTGGGGGGACATGCGTGGGACATATGTGTAAGGTGGGGGAACATGCGTGGGACATGCGTGTAATGTGGGGGGACATGCGTGTAACGTGCGTGTAATGTGGGGGGACATGCGTGGGACATACGTGTAATGGGGAGACATGCATGTAACGGGGGGACATGTGTGTAATGTGAGGGGGACATGCGTGTAATGTGGGGGGACATGTGTGTAACATGTGTGTAATGTGGGGGGGGACATGTGTGTAATGTGGGGGGGGACATGTGTGTAATGTGGGGGGACATGCGTGTAACATGCGTGTAATGTGGGGGGGACATGCATGTAATGTGGGGGGGACATGCGTGGGACATACGTGTAACGGGGGGACATGCGTGTAATGTGTGGGGGACATGCGTGTAATGTGGCGGGGACATGCGTGGGACATGCGTGTAATGGGGGGACATGTGTGTAATGTGGGGGGGACATGCGTGTAATGTGGGGGGGACATGTGTGTAATGTGGGGGGACATGCGTGTAATGTGGGGGGGACATGCGTGTAATGGGGGGACATGCGTGTAATGTGGGGGGGACATGCGTGTAATGTAGGGGGACATGTGTGTAATGTGGGGGGACATGCGTGTAATGTGGGGGGACATGTGTGTAACGTGTGTAATGTGGGGGGGGACATGCGTGTAATGTGGGGGGACATGCGTGTAATGTGGGGGGACATGCGTGTAACGGGTGGGGGACATGTGTGGGACATGCGTGTAATGTGGGGGGACATGCGTGTAATGTGGGGGGACATGTGTGTAACGTGTGTAATGGGGGGGACATGCGTGTAATGTGGGGGGACATGCGTGGGACATACGTGTAATGTGGGGGGACATGCGTGTAAGGTGGGGGAACATGCGTGGGACATGCGTGTAATGTGGGGGACATGCGTGGGGTATACGTGTAATGTGGGGGACATGGGTGGGACATACGTGTAATGTGGGGGGACATGCGTGTAATGTGGGGGGGACATGCGTGTAATGTGGGGGGGACATGCGTGGGACATACGTGTAAGGTGGGGGGGACATGCGTGTAATGTGGGTGGGGCATGCGTGTAATGGGTGGGGGACATACATGTGACATACATGTAACGTGTGTGGGACATGCGTGTGACATACGTGTAACGTGTGGGGGGCATGCGTGTAATGTGTGTGGGACATAGGTGTAACGGGTGGGGACATGCGTGTAACATGTGTGGGACATACGTGTAACATGTGTGGGACACGTACCTGCTACGTGTTACGTTCGTGTTACACACATTGCACACGTGTTACATGTGTTCCATGTTACATACATGTTACATACATGTTACATATGTGTTACACACATTGCACACGTGTTACATGTGTTCCATGTTACATACGCGTTACATATGTGTTACGCACATTGCACACGTGTTACATATGTGTTCCACATTGCATACATGTTACATACGTGTTACATACCTGTTACATATGTGTTACACACTTTGCACACGTGTTACATGTGTTCCACGTTGCATACATGTTACATACCCGTTACATACGTGGTCTACACATTGCACACGTGTTACATATGTGTTCCACGTTGCATACATGTTACATACGTGTTACATACCTGTTACATCTGTGTTACACACATTGCACACGTGTTACATATGTGTTCCGCGCTGCATATGTGTTGCATACGTGTTACATACATGTTACATACGTGTTTCACACGTGTTACATGTGTTCCGCGTTGCATACACGTTACATACGCGTTACATACATGTTGCATACGTGTTACATATGTGTTCCATGTTGCATACACGTTACATACGTGTTACACACATTGCACACGTGTTACATATGTGTTCCACGTTGCATACCCGTTACATACACGTTACATACGTGTTACACGCGTGTTCTACCCCCCCCATAGGGCCAATGCCAATGGCGCCAGCCCCCGGGCCGGGAGATCTACCGCAAGGGCAACATCTCCGTGTACGAGGTGGACGGCAAAGACCACAAGGTAACGGCCAATGGGGACGGAGCGCGGCGCTGACGTCGGCGCTGACGTCACCGCTGACGCCGCCGTGACGTCACACAGATCTACTGCCAGAACCTGTGCCTATTGGCCAAGCTCTTCCTGGACCACAAGACCTTGTACTTCGACGTGGAGCCCTTCGTCTTCTACCTGCTCACCGAGGTCGACCGCGACGGCGCCCACATCGTGGGCTACTTCTCCAAGGTGGGGATCCCGTGTTGTTCCCATGTTGTTCCCATGACGTTCCCATGTTGTTCCCATGACGTTCCCATGTTGTTCCCATGACGTTCCCATGACGTTCCCATGATATTCCTGTGTCATTCCCATGTCATTCCTGTGTAGTTTCCATGTCGTTCCTATGTTATTCCCATGTGATTCCTGTGTTGTTCCCATGACGTTCCCATGTTGTTCCCATGTCGTTCCCATGATGTTCCCATGACGTTCCCATGTTGTTCCCATGACGTTCCCATGACATTCCTGTGTCATTCCCATGTCATTCCTGTGTAGTTTCCATGTCGTTCCTATGTTATTCCCATGTGATTCCTGTGTTGTTCCCATGTTGTTCCCATGATGTTCCCATGACGTTCCCGTGATGTGCCCATGATGTTCCCATGTTGTTCCCATGTCGTTCCCATGTTGTTTCCATGATGTTCCCATGACGTTCCCATGACGTTCCCATGTCGTTCCCATGATGTGCCCATGATGTTCCCATGACGTTCCCGTGTTGTTCCCATGACGTTCCCATGTTGTTCCCATGACGTTCCCATGATGTTCCCATGACGTTCCCAAGACATTCCTGTGTCATTCCCATGTCATTCCTGTGTCATTCCTGTGTAGTTTCCATGTTGTCCCTATGTTATTCCCATGTGATTCCTGTGTTGTTCCCATGTTGTTCCCGTGACGTTCCCATGACGTTCCAATGATGTTCCCATGACGTTCCCATGTCGCTCCCGTGTCATTCCCATGTCAGTCCCATGTAATTCCCATGTCATTCCCATGTCGTTCCCGTGTCATTCCCATGTCATTCCCATGTCATTCCCATGTCATTCCCATGTCGTTCCCGTGTTATTCCCATGTCATTCCCGTGTCATTCCCGTGTTATTCCCATGTTATTCCCATGTCATTCCCGTGTTATTCCCATGTTATTCCCATGTTATTCCCATGTCATTCCCATGTTATTCCCATGTTATTCCCATGTCATTCCCATGTTATTCCCATGTCATTCTCATGTCATTCCCGTGTTATTCCCATGTCATTCCCATGTCATTCCCGTGTTATTCCCATGTTATTCCCATGTCATTCCCGTGTTATTCCCATGTCATTCCCATGTTATTCCCGTGTTATTCCCGTGTTATTCCCATGTCATTCCCGTGTTATTCCCATGTTATTCCCATGTTATTCCCATGTCATTTCCATGTTATTCCCATGTCATTCCCATGTCATTCCCATGTCATTCCCATGTTATTCCCATGTTATTCCCGTGTTATCCCCCGCAGGAGAAGGAGTCTCCGGACGGGAACAACGTCGCCTGCATCCTGACGCTCCCGCCCTACCAGCGCCGCGGCTACGGCAAATTCCTCATCGCCTTCAGTGCGTGCCCCATAGCGCCCCATTGAGACCCATTGAGCCCCACTGAGCCCCACTGAGCCCCATTGCGCCCCATTGAGCCCCATTGAGCCCCATTAGACCACCATTGAGCCCCATTGCGCCCCATTGAGCCCCATTGAGCCCCATAGAGCCCCATTGAGCCCCATTGCGCCCCATTGAGCCCCATTGAGCCCTATTGAGCCCCATTGCGCCCCATTGAGCCCCATTGAGCCCCATTGCGCCCCATTGCGCCCCATTGAGCCCCATTGAGCCCCATTGCGCCCCATTGAGCCCCATTGAGCCCCATTGCGCCCCATTGAGCCCCATTGCGCCCCATTGAGCCCCACTGAGCCCCATTGAGCCCCATTGAGCCCCATTGAGCCGCATTGACCCCATTGAGCCCCATTGAGCCCCATTGAGCCCCATTGAGCCCCATTGCGCCCCATTGAGCCCCATTGCGCCCCATTGAGCCCCACTGCACCCCATTGAGCCCCATTGAGCCCCATTGAGCCCCACTGAGCCCCATCGCGCCCCATTGAGCCCCATTGCGCCCCATTGAGCCCCATTGAGCCCCACTGAGCCCCATTGAGCCCCATTGAGCCCCATTGAGACCCACTGAGCCCCATTGAGCCCCATTGCACCCCATTGAGCCCCATTGAGCCCCATTGAGCCCCATTGAGCCCCATCGCGCCCCATTGAGCCCCATTGAGCCCCATTGAGCCCCATTGAGCCCCATTGCGCCCCATTGAGCCCCATTGACCACCATTGAGCCCCATTGCGCCCCATTGAGCCCCACTGAGCCCCATTGAGCCCCATTGCGCCCCATTGAGCCCCATTGACCCCCCATGACCGCCATTGAGCCCCATTCGCCACCATTGACACTCATTGACTTCTGTTGACTCCTGTTGGCTCCCATTGACCCCCATTGACCCCCATTGACTCCCATTGACCCCCATTGACTCCCATTGACCGCCATTGACATCCATTGACCTCCATTGACTTCCATTGACTCCCATTGACCCCCATTGACTCCCATTGACCTCCATTGACTCCCATTGACCCCCATTGACCCCCATTGACCCCCATTGACTCCCATTGACTCCCATTGACCGCCATTGCCTCCCATTGACTCCCATTGACTCCCATTGACCCCCATTGACCCCCATTGGCTCCCATTGACCCCCATTGACCTCCATTGACCTCCATTGACTCCCATTGACCCCCATTGACTCCCATTGACCTCCATTGACTCCCATTGATCTCTATTGACCCCCATTGCCCCCCATTGACTCCCATTGACTCCCATTGACTTCCATTGACCTCCATTGACTCCCATTGACCTCTATTGACCCCCATTGCCCCCCGTTGCCCCCCATTGACCCCCATTGACTTTCATTGACTTCCATTGACCTCCATTGACTTTCATTGACTTCCATTGACCTCCATTGACTCCCATTGACTCCCATTGCCCCCCATTGACCCCCATTGACTCCCATTGACCGCCATTGACATCCATTGATCTCCATTGACTCCCATTGACCTCTATTGACTCCCATTGACCTCCATTGACTTCCATTGACCTCCATTGACCTCCATTGACTCCCATTGACTCCCATTGCCCCCCATTGACTCCCATTGACCCCCATTGACTCCCATTGACCGCCATTGATCTCCATTGACCCCCATTGACTCCCATTGACCCCCATTGGCTTCCATTGACCTCCATTGACTCCCATTGACTCCCATTGCCCCCCATTGACCCCCATTGCCCCCCATTGCCCCCCCATTGCAGGCTACGAGCTCTCCAAGCTGGAGGCCACCGTGGGCTCGCCGGAGAAGCCGCTCTCGGACCTGGGCAAGCTCAGCTACCGCAGTTACTGGTCCTGGGTGCTCCTGGAGATCCTGCGCGACTTCCGCGGCACCCTCTCCATCAAGGACCTCAGGTAACCCAGTACGGACCAGTATAAACCAGTACGGACCAGTATGGACCAGTATAAACCAGTATAGACCAGTATAAACCAGTATAGACCAGTATAAACCAGTATGGACCAGTATAGACCAGTATAAACCAGTATAGACCAGTATGGACCAGTATAGACCGGTATAGACCAGTACCTTCCAGTTCCATCCCAGTCCCTCCCAGTTCAATCCCAGTCCCTCCCAGTCCCTCCCAGTCCCTCCCAGTCCCTCCCAGTTCAATCCCAGTCAATCCCAGTCCCTCCCAATCCCATCCCAGTCCCTCCCATTCACTCCCATTCATTCCCAGTTCCCTCCCAGTCCCTCCCAGTCCCTCCCAGTCCATCCCATTCCCATCCCAGTCCATCCCAGTCCATCCCAGTTCATCCCAGTCCCTCCCAGTTCAATCCCAGTCCCATCCCAGTCCCTCCAAGTCCCTCCCAATTCCATCCCAGTCCCTCCCAGTCCCATCCCAGTCCATCCCAGTTCAATCCCATTCATTCCCAGTTCCCTCCCAGTCCCTCCCAGTCCATCCCATCCCCATCCCAGTGCCTCCCAGTATAACCCAGTCCATCCCAGTCTCTCCCAGTATAGCCCAGTCCATCCCAATCCCATCCCAGTCCATCCCAGTTCATCCCAGTCCCTCCCAGTTCAATCCCAGTCCCATCCCAGTCCATCCCAGTCCCTCCCAATCCCATCCCAGTCCCTCCCAGTCCATCCCAGTCCATCCCAGTTCAATCCCAGTCACTCCCAGTTCAATCCCAGTCCCATCCCAGTCCCTCCCAGTCCATCCCAGTCCATCCCAGTTCAATCCCAGTCAATCCCAGTCCCTCCCAATCCCATCCCAGTCCTTCCCATTCAATCCCATTCATTCCCAGTTCCCTCCCAGTTCATCCCAATCCATCCCAGTCACTCCCAGTTCAATCCCAATCCCATCCCAGTCCATCCCAGTCTATCCCAGTCCATCCCAGTTCCCTCCCATTCAATCCCATTCAATCCCAGTCCCTCCCAGTCCATCCCAGTCCCTCCCAATCCCATCCCAGTCCATCCCAGTCAATCCCAGTTCAATCCCAGTTCCATCCTAGTCCCATCCCAGTCCCTCCCAATCCCATCCCATTCAATCCCATTCAATCCCATTCAATCCCAGTCCATCCCAGTCCAACCCCATTCAATCCCATTCATCCCCAGTCACATGACCAGCATCACGCAGAGTGACATCATCAGCACGCTGCAGTCCCTTCAATCCCATTCATTCCCATTCAATCCCATTCAACCCCATTCAATCCCATTCATTCCCATTCATTCCCATTCATTCCCATTCATTCCCATTCAATCCCATTCATTCCCAGTCCAACCCCATTCATTCCCATTCATCCCCAGTCACATGACCAGCATCACGCAGAGTGACATCATCAGCACGCTGCAGTCCCTTCGATCCCATTCAATCCCATTCAACCCCATTCAATCCCATTCATTCCCATTCAACCCCATTCAACCCCATTCAACCCCATTCAACCCCATTCATTCCCATTCAACCCCATTCATTCCCATTCAACCCCATTCAATCCCATTCAATCCCATTCAACCCCATTCAACCCCATTCAATCCCATTCAATCCCATTCAATCCCATTCATTCCCAGTCCAACCCCATTCATTCCCATTCATTCCCATTCAACCCCATTCAACCCCATTCAACCCCATTCATTCCCATTCAATCCCATTCAACCCCATTCAATCCCATTCAACCCCATTCAACCCCATTCAATCCCATTCATTCCCATTCAATCCCATTCAATCCCATTCAATCCCATTCAATCCCATTCATTCCCATTCAACCCCATTCAACCCCATTCAACCCCATTCAATCCCATTCATTCCCATTCAACCCCATTCAACCCCATTCAACCCCATTCAACCCCATTCAATCCCATTCAACCCCATTCATTCCCATTCATTCCCATTCATTCCCATTCAACCCCATTCATTCCCATTCAACCCCATTCATTCCCATTCAACCCCATTCAATCCCATTCAACCCCATTCATTCCCATTCAACCCCATTCAATCCCATTCAATCCCATTCAATCCCATTCAATCCCATTCAACCCCATTCAACCCCATTCAACCCCATTCATTCCCATTCATTCCCATTCAACCCCATTCAATCCCATTCATTCCCATTCAACCCCATTCAATCCCATTCATTCCCATTCATTCCCATTCAACCCCATTCAATCCCATTCATTCCCATTCATTCCCATTCAACCCCATTCAATCCCATTCATTCCCATTCAACCCCATTCAATCCCATTCATTCCCATTCATTCCCATTCAATCCCATTCAACCCCATTCAACCCCATTCATTCCCATTCATTCCCATTCAACCCCATTCAACCCCATTCAATCCCATTCAACCCCATTCAATCCCATTCAATCCCATTCAACCCCATTCAATCCCATTCAACCCCATTCAACCCCATTCAATCCCATTCAACCCCATTCAATCCCATTCATTCCCATTCAACCCCATTCAATCCCATTCAACCCCATTCAACCCCATTCAACCCCATTCAACCCCATTCAACCCCATTCAATCCCATTCAACCCCATTCAACCCCATTCAACCCCATTCAATCCCATTCATTCCCATTCAACCCCATTCATTCCCATTCAACCCCATTCAATCCCATTCAACCCCATTCAACCCCATTCAACCCCATTCAATCCCATTCATTCCCATTCAATCCCATTCATTCCCAGTCCAACCCCATTCATTCCCATCCATCCCCAGTCACATGACCAGCATCACGCAGAGTGACATCATCAGCACGCTGCAGTCCCTTCAATCCCATTCAATCCCATTCAATCCCATTCAACCCCATTCAACCCCATTCAACCCCATTCATTCCCATTCAACCCCATTCAATCCCATTCAATCCCATTCAACCCCATTCAACCCCATTCATTCCCATTCAATCCCATTCATTCCCATTCAACCCCATTCAACCCCATTCATTCCCATTCAACCCCATTCATTCCCATTCAATCCCATTCAACCCCATTCAATCCCATTCAACCCCATTCAACCCCATTCAACCCCATTCATTCCCATTCATTCCCATTCAATCCCATTCAATCCCATTCAACCCCATTCAACCCCATTCAATCCCATTCAATCCCATTCAACCCCATTCAATCCCATTCATTCCCATTCATTCCCATTCAACCCCATTCATTCCCATTCAACCCCATTCAATCCCATTCAATCCCATTCAATCCCATTCATTCCCATTCAACCCCATTCAACCCCATTCAACCCCATTCAATCCCATTCAATCCCATTCAACCCCATTCAACCCCATTCAACCCCATTCATTCCCATTCAACCCCATTCAACCCCATTCATTCCCAGTCCAATCCCATTCATCCCCAGTCACATGACCAGCATCACGCAGAGTGACATCATCAGCACGCTGCAGTCCCTTCAATCCCATTCAATCCCATTCAACCCCATTCAACCCCATTCAACCCCATTCAATCCCATTCAACCCCATTCAACCCCATTCAACCCCATTCAATCCCATTCATTCCCATTCAACCCCATTCATTCCCATTCAACCCCATTCAATCCCATTCAACCCCATTCAACCCCATTCAACCCCATTCAATCCCATTCATTCCCATTCAATCCCATTCATTCCCAGTCCAACCCCATTCATTCCCATCCATCCCCAGTCACATGACCAGCATCACGCAGAGTGACATCATCAGCACGCTGCAGTCCCTTCAATCCCATTCAATCCCATTCAATCCCATTCAACCCCATTCAACCCCATTCAACCCCATTCATTCCCATTCAACCCCATTCAATCCCATTCAATCCCATTCAACCCCATTCAACCCCATTCATTCCCATTCAATCCCATTCATTCCCATTCAACCCCATTCAACCCCATTCATTCCCATTCAACCCCATTCATTCCCATTCAATCCCATTCAACCCCATTCAATCCCATTCAACCCCATTCAACCCCATTCAACCCCATTCATTCCCATTCATTCCCATTCAATCCCATTCAATCCCATTCAACCCCATTCAACCCCATTCAATCCCATTCAATCCCATTCAACCCCATTCAATCCCATTCATTCCCATTCATTCCCATTCAACCCCATTCATTCCCATTCAACCCCATTCAATCCCATTCAATCCCATTCAATCCCATTCATTCCCATTCAACCCCATTCAACCCCATTCAACCCCATTCAATCCCATTCAATCCCATTCAACCCCATTCAACCCCATTCAACCCCATTCATTCCCATTCAACCCCATTCAACCCCATTCATTCCCAGTCCAATCCCATTCATCCCCAGTCACATGACCAGCATCACGCAGAGTGACATCATCAGCACGCTGCAGTCCCTTCAATCCCATTCAATCCCATTCAACCCCATTCAACCCCATTCAACCCCATTCATTCCCATTCATTCCCATTCAATCCCATTCAATCCCATTCAATCCCATTCAACCCCATTCAATCCCATTCAATCCCATTCAACCCCATTCAATCCCATTCAATCCCATTCAATCCCATTCAACCCCATTCAACCCCATTCAATCCCATTCAATCCCATTCAATCCCATTCAACCCCATTCAATCCCATTCAATCCCATTCAACCCCATTCAACCCCATTCAACCCCATTCAACCCCATTCAACCCCATTCATTCCCATTCAACCCCATTCATTCCCATTCAATCCCATTCAACCCCATTCAACCCCATTCATTCCCATTCAACCCCATTCAATCCCATTCAACCCCATTCAATCCCATTCATTCCCATTCATTCCCATTCAACCCCATTCAACCCCATTCAACCCCATTCAACCCCATTCAACCCCATTCAACCCCATTCAATCCCATTCAACCCCATTCAACCCCATTCATTCCCATTCATTCCCATTCATCCCCAGTCACATGACCAGCATCACGCAGAGTGACATCATCAGCACGCTGCAGTCCCTTCAATCCCATTCAATCCCATTCAATCCCATTCATTCCCATTCATTCCCATTCAACCCCATTCATCCCCATTCATTCCCATTCATTCCCATTCATTCCCATTCAACCCCATTCAATTCCATTCAACCCCATTCATTCCCATTCATCCCCAGTCACATGACCAGCATCACGCAGAGTGACATCATCAGCACGCTGCAGTCCCTTCAATCCCATTCAACCCCATTCAACCCCATTCAATCCCATTCAATCCCATTCAACCCCATTCAACCCCATTCAATCCCATTCAACCCCATTCAATCCCATTCAACCCCATTCATTCCCATTCATTCCCATTCATTCCCATTCAACCCCATTCATTCCCATTCAACCCCATTCAACCCCATTCATTCCCATTCAACCCCATTCAACCCCATTCAATCCCATTCAACCCCATTCAACCCCATTCAACCCCATTCATTCCCAGTCCAATCCCATTCATCCCCAGTCACATGACCAGCATCACGCAGAGTGACATCATCAGCACGCTGCAGTCCCTCAACATGGTCAAGTACTGGAAGGGGCAGCACGTGATCTGCGTCACGCCGCGCCTCGTGGAGGAGCACCTGCGCAGCGCGCAGTACAAGCGGCCCCCCATCACCGGTGAGCCTGGGGGGCGGACCCATAAGTGCGACCCATAAGTGGGATGTGTGGGGCGGACCCATAAGTGGGACCCATAAGTGGGACACATAAGTGGGACGTGTGGGGCGGACCCATAAGTGGGACCCATAAGTGGGACGTGTGGGGCGGACCCATAAGTGGGACGTGTGGGGCGGACCCATAAGTGGGAGGTGTGGGGCGGACACATAAGTGGGACCCATAAGTGGGACGTGTGGGGTGGACCCATAAGTGGGACCCATAAGTGGGACGTGTGGGGCAGACACATAAGTGGGACCTATGGGCAGACCCATAAGTGGGACCCATAAGTGGGACCCACAAGTGGGACGTGTGGGGTGGACGCATAAGTGGGACCTATGGGCGGACCCATAAGTGGGACACATAAGTGGGAGGTGTGGGGCGGACCCATAAGTGGGGCGTGGGGGGCAGACACATAAGTGGGACCCATAAGTGGGACATGTGGGGCGGGGACACAAGTGGGACCCATAAGTGGGACCCATAAGTGGGACGTGTGGGGCGGGGACACAAGTGGCTCCCCATCACCAGTGTGCGGGGGGCAGACCCACAAGTGGGACGTGGGGGGCGGACCCAAAAGTGGGACCAACAAGTGGGACGTGTGGGGCAGGGACGTGAGTGGGACCCATAAGGGGGAGGTGTGGGGCTGACCCATAAGTGGGGCGTGTGGGACGGACCCATAAGTGGGAGGTGTGGGGCGGGGATGCGAGTGGGACCCATAAGTGGGATGTGTGGGGTGGGGATGCGAGTGGGACCCATACGTGGGAGGTGTGGGGCAGACGCATAAGTGGGACCCATAAGTGGGAGATGTGGGGTGGACCCACAAGTGGGACGTGTGGGGCGGGGACGCGAGTGGGACCCATAAGGGGGAGGTGTGGGGTGGACCCATAAGTGGGACCCATAAGTGGGAGGTGTGGGTTGGACCCATAAGTGGGACCCCCCTTGCCCCATAACTGGCTCTTTCTGCCCCCCAACAGTGGATTCCATCTGCCTGCGCTGGGCGCCCCCCAAGCACAAGCAACCCAAAGTGGCCAAGAAGTGAGGAGGAAGCCGCGTGCGCTATGGGGCGCCCCACATCTGCTATGGGGCGCCCCACGTATCCTATGGGGCGCCCCGTGTCTGCTATGGGGCACCCCACGTCTGCTATGGGTGCCCCGTATCTGCTACGGGGTGCCCCACATCTGCTACGGGGACCCCCGCATCTGCTATGGGGCGCCCCACATCTGCTGTGGGTGCCCCATGTCTTCTATGGGGTGCCCCACATCTGCTATGGGGTGCCCCACATCTGCTATGAGTGCGCCACATCTGCTATGGGTTGCCTCTTGTGTTCTATGGGGCGCCCCATATCTGCTGTGGGGTGCCTCATGTCTTCTATGGGGCGCCCCACATCTGCTATGGGGCACCCCACATCTGCTGTGGGTGCCCCATGTCTTCTATGGGGTGCCCTATGTCTGCTATGGGGTGCCCCACATCTGCTATGGGTTGCCTCTTGTGTTCTATGGGGCGCCCCACATCTGCTGTGGGGTGCCTCATGTCTTCTATGGGGCGCCCCACATCCCCTATGGGGCGCCCCACATCCCCTATGGGTCTCCCCAGTCCACACCAGTAAAGCTGCAGGTGAAACTGGGACTCGTGGTGCTTTATTGGGGGGCACCGTGGGGTGCCAAGTGGGGGTCCCGTGACCCATAAGTGGGGGTCCCATGACCCATAAGTGGGGGTCCCATCACCGCTATGGGTCCCGTGACCCATAAGTGCGGGTCCCATCACTGCTATGGGTAACGTGACCCATAAATGTGGGTCCCGTGACCCATAAGTGGGGGTCCCGTGACCCATAAGTGCAGGTCCCATCACCGCTATGGGTCCCGCGACCCATAAATGTGGGTCCCGCGACCCATAAATGTGGGTCCCATGACCCATAAGTGCGGGTCCCATCACCGCTATGGGTCCCGTGACCCATAAATGGGGGTCCCGTCACTGCTATGGGTCACGTGACCCATAAGTGCGGGTCCCATCACTGCTATGGGTAACGTGACCCATAAATGTGGGTCCCGTGACCCATAAGTGGGGGTCCCATGACCCATAAGTGGGGGTCCCATCACCGCTATGGGTCCCGTGACCCGTAAGTGGGGGTCCCATCACTGCTATGGGTCCCGTGACCCATAAGTGTGGGTCCCATCACCGCTATGGGTCCCGCGACCCATAAATGTGGGTCCCGTGACCCATAAGTGGGGGTCCCGTGACCCATAAGTGGGGGTCCCATCACTGCTATGGGTCCCGTGACCCATAAGCAGGGGTCCCATCACTGCTATGGGTAACGTGACCCATAAATGGGGGTCCTGTCACTGCTATGGGTAACGTGACCCATAGATGTGGGTCCCGTGACCCATAAGTGTGGGTCCCATCACCGCTACGTGTCCCGTGACCCATAGATGTGGGTCCTGTGACCCATAAGTGCGGGTCCCATAACCGCTATGGGTCCCGCGACCCATAAATGTGGGTCCCGTGACCCATAAGTGTGGGTCCCATCACCGCTACGTGTCCCGCGACCCATAGATGTGGGTCCCGTGACCCATAAGTGCGGGTCCCATCACCACTACGTGTCCCGTGACCCATAAATGTGGGTCCCGCGACCCATAAATGTGGGTCCCGTGACCCATAAGTGCGGGTCCCATCACCGCTACGTGTCCCGTGACCCATAGATGTGGGTCCCGTGACCCATAAATGTGGGTCCCATGACCCATAAGTGCGGGTCCCATCACCGCTACGTGTCCCGTGACCCATAGATGTGGGTCCCGTGACCCATAAGTGCGGGTCCCATCCCCACCTGGGGGTCCCGTCTCCCCCCTATGCCCTGACCCACAGCACCCCCAGGAGCCCCCATAGGGCCCCATTGATCCCGAGGCCGCTCCCTCCGCTATGGGGCGGATGTGGGGCAGGGTCCCAGGAGTCGCAGGAGCCTTCGTCCTCCTCCTCCTCCTCCTCCTCCTCTTGGGGCCAGGGGGGGGGCCCGGGGCTGGATCCGACCCCATTGGCCCCATTGATCCCATTGACCCCATTGATCCCATTGGCTCCATTGACCCCATTGATCCCATTGGCCCCATTGATCCCATTGACCCCATTGGCCCCATTGGCCCCATTGACCCCATTGATCCCATTGGCCCCATTGCCCCCATTGGCCCCATTGACCCCATTGCCCCCATTGCCCCCATTGCCCCCATTGCCCCCATTGGCCCCATTGCCCCCATTGGCCCCATTGCCCCCATTGCCCCCATTGACCCCATTGATCCCATTGCCCCCATTGGCCCCATTGATCCCATTGACCCCATTGCCCCCATTGACCCCATTGCCCCCATTGACCCCATTGCCCCCATTGCCCCCATTGACCCCATTGCCCCCATTGACCCCATTGCCCCCATTGATCCCATTGATCCCATTGCCCCCATTGGCCCCATTGACCCCATTGCCCCCATTGCCCCCATTGCCCCCATTGCCCCCATTGAGCTCCTCCCCTACGGTGGCCCGGATCCAGGCCCGGTGTGGGGCAGTGTCCGTGTAGAGCCCCGGTGTGGGGCCAGCCCCACAGGAGACCCCCCCACTCACCACCCCCGCCAGCAGCCAGCGGCCCCCCAACAGGCACGAGAGCGGGCCCCCCGAGTCACCCTGTGGGGATATAGGGGGGATATGGGGGTCACATGGGGGGGATATGGGGGTCACATGGGGGGGATATGGGGGTCACATGGGGGGGGATATGGGGGTCACATGGGGGGATATGGGGGTCACATGGGGGGATATGGGGGTCACATAGGGGGGGATATGGGGGTCACATGGGGGGGATATGGGGGTCACATGGGGGGATATGGGGGTCACATAGGGGGGATATGGGGGTCACATGGGGGGATATGGGGGTCACATGGGGGGGATAGGGGGGTCACATGGGGGATATGGGGGGATATGGGGGATATGGGGGTCACATGGGGGATATGGGGGGATATGGGGGTCACATGGGGGGGATATGGGGGTCACATGGGGGGATATGGGGGTCACATGGGGGGGATATGGGGGTCACATTGGGGGGATATGGGGGTCACATGGGGGGGATATGGGGGTCACATGGGGGGATATGGGGGTCACATGGGGGGATATGGGGGGGATATGGGGGTCACATGGGGGGGATATGGGGGGGATATGGGGGTCACATGGGGGGATATGGGGGTCACATGGGGGGGATATGGGGGTCACATGGGGGGGATATGGGGGTCACATGGGGGGATATGGGGGGGATATGGGGGGATATGGGGGTCACATGGGGGGGATATGGGGGTCACATGGGGGGATATGGGGGTCCCATAGGGGGATATGGGGGTCCCATAGGGGGATATGGGGGTCACATGGGGGGGATATGGGGGTCACATGGGGATATGGGGGTCACATGGGGGGATATGGGGGTCACATGGGGGGATATGGGGGGGATATGGGGGTCACATGGGGGGGATATGGGGGTCACATGGGGGGGATATGGGGGGGATATGGGGGTCACATGGGGGGATATGGGGGTCACATGGGGGGATATGGGGGTCACATGGGGGGATATAGGGGTCACATGGGGGGATATGGGGGTCACATGGGGGGATGGGGGTCACATGGGGGGGATATGGGGGTCACATGGGAATATGGGGGTCACATGGGGGGATATGGGGGTCACATGGGGGGATATGGGGGTCACATGGGGGGATATGGGGGTCACATGGGGGGGATATGGGGGGGATATGGGGGGGATATGGGGGTCACATAGGGGGGATATGGGGGTCACATGGGGGGGATATGGGGGTCACATAGGGGGGATATGGGGGTCACATGGGGGGATATGGGGGTCACATGGGGGGGATATGGGGGGGATATGGGGGTCACATGGGGGAATATGGGGGGGATATGGGGGGATATGGGGGTCACATGGGGGGGATATGGGGGTCACATGGGGGGATATGGGGGTCACATGGGGGGGATATGGGGGGTATTTTGGGGTGAAAAATGGTGATTTTGGGGTGAAAAGGGCGATTTTGGGCGTGGAAAAGGTGATTTTTGGGGTGAAAAGGGGGATTTTGGGGTGAAAAAGGCGATTTTTGGGGTGAAAAAGGCGATTTTGGGGTGAAAAAGGCGATTTTGGGGGTAAAAAATGGGGATTTGGGGTGAAAAAGGGGATTTTTGGGGTGAAAAAGGGTGATTTTGTGGGTGAAAAAGGGTGATTTTTGGGGTGAAAAAGGCGATTTTTGGGGTGAAAAAGGTTGATTTTGGGGTAAAAAGGGCGATTTTTGGGGTGAAAAGGGTGATTTTTGGGGTGAAAAAGGTGATTTTAGGGTGAAAAGGGTGATTTTGGGGTGAAAAGGGTGATTTTTGGTGTGAAAAAGGGGGATTTTTGGGGTGAAAAATGGTGATTTTGGGGTGAAAAGGGTGATTTTGGGGTGAAAAAGGGCGAATTTGGGGGTGAAAAGGGGGATTTTGGGGTGTAAAAGGTGATTTTTGGGGTGAAAAAGGTGATTTTTTTGGGTGAAAAAAGCGATTTTTGGGGTGAAAAAGGGGGATTTTGGGGTGAAAAAGGTGATTTTTGGGGTGAAAAAGGTGATTTGGGGGTAAAAAAGGCGATTTTTGGGGTGAAAAAGGGGGATTTTGGGGTGAAAAAGGCGATTTTTGGGGTGAAAAAGGGTGATTTGGGGGTGAAAAAGGGCGATTTTTGGGTCAAAAGGGTGATTTTTGGGTGAAAAAGGGGGCTTTTGGGGTAAAAAAGGGGGATTTTGGGGTGAAAAAGGCGATTTTTGGGGTGAAAAAGGCGATTTTTGGGGTGAAAAAGGCGATTTTGGGGTGAAAAGGGTGATTTTTGGGTGAAAAAGGGGGATTTTGGGGTGAAAATGGTGATTTTTGGGGTGAAAAAGGCGATTTTTGGGGTGAAAAAGGGTGATTTTGGGGTGAAAAGGGTGATTTTGGTGTGAAAAAGGCGATTTTTGGGGTGAAAATGGGGATTTTGGGGTAAAAATGGTGATTTTTGGGGTGAAAAAGGCGATTTTTGGGGTGAACAAGGGGGATTTTGGGGTGAAAAGGGTGATTTTTGGGGTGAAAAAGGCGATT